TTACTTTACGTTAATTAAGTTTAAGTTAATTACTACGTACGTACGTACGTTACTTAACGTAAGTAGTCTAGTTACTACGTAACGTACGTAGTGTGTGTGTGTGTGTGTGTGTGTGTGTGTGTGTGTGTGTGTGTGTGTGTGTGTGTGTGTGTGTGTGTGTGTGTATTATACACACACACACACATTCTATAACAAAGTTAAAACAAAAATATAACAAGACAGTAATATGTTGCAGAAAAGCTACAAATATATAAATTGATATAGTACAAAACTACTCTTAAACCACACAGCACTAAATATTACAAAATAACTATTGTTATAACCAATTATCCTAAACTCACGAGCACCTTATTCAAACTTATCGGTGCATAAAACATTTTATTTCTGAATTTATTTTTTTTCCTTTCCTTCTATAACAATAAAATCTTAAAGGTGTCCTGGTTTGTGTTTAAAATACACCCTGCCTTAGAATGAGCTACACAGATTTCTAAACATGACACATCACTGACAGGTTAAAAAATATGAAAGTAAAAAGTGACACTACTGTAGGTGGGAATCAAATTTGCAACTATGCTCCAAAGTTACTGGGCCTAAGCAGTTTGTATGGATAAAATGAAGTTTTCTTCAGATAGTCATTCTTCTCAAGTAATTCTCATTACTAACTTATAAAAGATTACCTCAATAACAGCTTCAGGTGCTTCTTTTGTCATGTAATGAATGGCATCTTGATCTCCAAGCCAATCTGAGCCTTTCACTGTATCATACCTGATAAAAAAATTAAGCTTATTTTAATTGACTTCACATTGAACAACATATAAAAGTATGCAGGGTTTTAAATAAGAGAGCAACAGCATTAAAAAGTGTTTTAAAATAATTTTAAAATTCACTTTGCTTTACTTAGTGATTATTCAAAAAATAATGAGGCTTAGAAACATTATATTTAGACAATTTGTTCAGTTAATATTAGTAATATAAAATAATTTTATCACAGCATAGTTATTGCTTATTTCATACAGTATGTTTTATTTTTAAAAAATGTTGAAATAAAACACAAAAAAGTTTTAAATTTCATAAACATAAAACAGAGCTCACATGTGCCACTTCCAGTTATCAGGTTCCATGTTGCCTAGAGCAGCATTAATACCTCCCTATAATGAAATATTTTTTTCTTTTCATTCCAAGTCTCAAATTATGCTACAGAAAAGTGATAAATAAATCCAATGTATTTGATAAGTGACACTACCTTTACACATGGTGGCAAAAATATATAAACATAAAAGTAACGATTGTAGAAAAAGAATGCAGAAATAGTAAAATAACAAAAACATCTTAAAGCACCCTAACAAATATATATTTCTTTATTAAAATACTACAGATTTTGTGCAAAAAAGTCAAGGTTGCTTGGTGGTTTATGGCACAAAGCAATTAGGCTATTTGCACCAAACAACCAGTAAAAACAGTAGAAGTAAATTGTAGTAAAATGTAAAAATAAATTGAGTTAAAACCAAAATACATCCAAATAACAGATAACAGAATTAAATAGAATTAAAAAGACCAATTGTTCTTCAAAAATTGAAAATACAATCAAGTTGGACAGTGTCACCATCGCCAGTGACACTGTCCAACATCAGGGGTAAACTCATAAAAAATGTCTAAAATGGTACCGATGCTCATGGTCATAACGACGGCACGACAGTAAAATATGGGATATTGTGACTTGAGTGTCACGAAGGGTATACATTGGTGGGTCAATACCAGGTAAAAGAAAATGATGAGTTAAACTGTGACCAATGCGTAGTCTTTCCAGAATAACTTTCTCCTTCCGATCCTTACAGAAGCAAGACTGCCAAAGAGCAACAGAAGGTTTTATCTGGAAAAGCTTGTTATGATGTTGCTCATCCCAAGTCAATTTCCAACTGGCGCGAAACCACGCCTTGAATACAGGACCGTAGTCCACGTATTGGACAGGCATAGCCATGACAGAACTAGAGCAGATGGACTTAACTGTAGTGTCAGCGAGCTCATTCTCACAAATACCGATGTGGCCAGGTATCCAGAAAAACTGGATGGAAACAGAAGATAAGAGAAAAATGGGCCAGTCGTTGTTCAATATCAACGAGAACAGGGTAAGAACTAACGCTAAGTGATTCTCGGGCCAGGAGAGAGCTAAGAGAATCAGTGTTAATAGTACAATCGCTGTACTGCATAACTTCTACATAATCCAGGGCAAGAGAAATAGCATACAACTTGGCAGTGAACACAGGAACTGTAGGGGAGGATCCTGCGAGCAACTACCGAGCTACTGCAAACCATGGCAAAGCCTGCAGAGTCATCCGATTTCGAACCATTTGTGTAAATAGGTAGAGAAGAATGGCTCAAAAGATGTTCAGCAAAAAGACTGTACTTCCAATCAGAGGTGGATTTTAGCCAAATAATTCAAAAGAAAAATAATTACAGTAACAATGCATAAAGTTTAATATATGATTCAAACACTTGACCTCTGGCTCATATTTTCAAACAGTTATGTAACTGAAACATGCTGAAGATGACCATATAATTTTTACGATCAAATAGAGTATGTAAATTACCCATGTATTAAATGATATTATGTTTAAAAAGAAACATTTAACATTAGCTTAAAATAAAAATCCAATTCTGCACATAGAATTTTACTACTGTTAAAAGAAGTTGAGCAATTAGGAGCCAGTCATTAACTTATGGCAAGAAAAATAATTCATGTCTGCAAAGAATTTAACAATAAACTTGCAAATTCATACAATAAGACTAAGCTAGAAAAGACTTATTCAGATGTAAATGAAGAAATCAAATGGATTATGAAAAAACGTAAATATTTTTACTGGTAAAAATGGGATACAATAGGTAAATTATCAAAACAACAACACGGGAGTTTTAAGAATTTTTTTTACACTATGACAAGTGAAACTTGAACACAAGTTTAGAGAATGAAACAAGTAGCATTTTAAAAGAAAGATTTTATTCTCCTCAAGAAAAAAAGAAGAATGCTTTATACAAGATAAAGAGCTTTACTAATATGGTCAAATATCTTATACACAACATGACAACACCAAAGGAAAGCAAAGTAAGCAAAGCAGACATCAATATTAATTCAAAAACTTGCTGAAGATTAATAAAAGTCAAAGTTGGTTTGTATATGTAACAGAAAACTTTTTTTTTATATGTTGTCTTGTAAGAAAGTTTGAAAAGAAGGAAAAAATAACAAGCAAACATGTTACTAAAGGGTTTGGTTTTAACAAAAAATACAATACAATGAATAGTTATCATCACTAAACGACAAGAATACTATTTTAAACAAAACTCATAAGTATTAACAAATGATAATCAAAATAAAAGGCAAATTAATAACATCTCTACTTTGTTATTGGGTTCCAAAAACCAGTAATAGCTAAAACTACACATTTATACCAGGGAAATTCACTGTAATTCATGTAGCTTATTTATTGAAATGTTAAATAAAATACAATTTAGCTATGCTGTATAATATCAAAGATATTTTTAACTCAAGTTTATAGCTTATTTGATCATTACCATCTATTATGTTAAACCTAGTTTATATGGTTCCATACAAAGTCTTAATATTCATGAAACTACATAGTAACAAGGAAACTACAAATGTTCCACCATCACTACTGTCAATAGATAGAATTTTTCCATTTTTAAATTCCTTTCTGCATTGGTACAGTGTTACATTCAAAATTTAATTAAACCACTTTACTATCATGTATTTTAATGAAATTATTTTTATTATTATTATTATACAGAATATAATAATTTAAAGTTTTATATTATATAAGTTTTTATTCCTTTATTTCAAAAGAAACATATAAAACAACAAGTAAACCTTCAGTTTCTTGCTGTCGCATGATCAGCTCAAGGTTACAATTTCTCAACTTTAAGAGCTGGTAGAGAAGAAACTGTGTGCCTGCACTGTATAGGCTTCCTTTAGACAGCCAAAGTACACATACAAGTGGTTGATGTTACGGTCTCATTTTAGTTTCAAAGATTTTCTCCCTCTAAGAAACCATTGTAAATACTTTTAAAGTCAGCCATGTCCACAAGCTACACGACAGTTTGAAGTTCAATGGCATGCTTATAATAAATAGAAAGAGCAGATTTCGCTATTGAATATTGGTACTGTAACGGTAAGCATATGCATAAGCTTTCAGTTTGAGATGGGATGAAATGAAGGTAAGTCCATTGTTCTCTCGAGGAGTACGTAGCAGTTAGCAAGGGTTTCTTGCCTTGTATGTATTGGTTTGGTAGACAGATTGCATTTATGTTTTACTTTATATTTTAAGTAAATATGTATTATCTGTGTTTTAAAATGCATATTTGAAAGGTTTAATGAATTTATAAATTTAACTTGTTGTCTTCTGGATTGTTAAAGCTTCTAAACAAGATGGCATGTGCAAACACCATCTTGTTCTGTGAAACGTGAGAGTCTGCAAGTAATAACTATCAAGCTTAATGGAAACAAGTTGATGTACTTTCACGAATAATAAAAGGCATAGAACTGGAAAAGAAAATTAACAATAAAAACTAAGTGTAAAGATAAAGATTCATATGAGACAAAGAAGACTATTCTAGTGTATTTCTACAATGTTAAAATGGTATATACATATTTCCATTTGTTAATTTTAAACATTTCATTCTACTGTATGTTGATGATGATAGTTAGAGTTAGTGACATAGTAGAGAAAATGGAAAATAAAATATAAATATTTACCAGAAAAAATTTCGATGTTAATCTACAAAGTTCTAGAGATTATACAAATTAAATGTGAAAACTGTTAGATAAATAAATAGTATGTTTATACTTCACATGAACATCACCTTGCAGGTGAACAATTCAGAATGCGAGTAAAAATATCAAATTTTTTTTACTACTAATAGTATTTTAAAAAAAAAAAATTAAATGTTTTATTTTTCTGAAACTACATATTTTTAGGCACATTCTTGTCAACTTTTAAATTAGTTCATCTAATAGTTTTATTTTTGGAAAGAAATATGACGAAAGTGATGTTATCTACGAAAACAATTAGTAGCTGGTAGTTATAGGGTTAAATATATTAGGAAATTAAATGTTGTCCAAAATACATATTTTGATAAATATTTTATATTTAGATTGCTTATCAATAAATTCCCAAGAAGGAATGTATTCCAACCTTATTACATACTCATAGACAGTACTGTAAAGAACAGCAAACCTGAGAAATGTGATATGTAACACGGTTGTACTAAAATTTAGTTCAACTTTAAAAACAGAACATCAAAAAATATTTATTTTCAAAACAAAAAAAATAATTTTGTGAAAGCTAAGGGAAATCTTACACAGAATTAAGAAATGCATCTAAATAGAAAAGGTTACAGGTTACAAGTTGTCAAGCAACTTATACAAGCTGAAAAGACAGCATATGGCCTTTTACGACTTCTAAGTTTGGAACTCTTGTTTGACAAGTTATACTCAGTCATGAATTACAGAAAACCATCAGGTGACAGTAAGTGAAAGCTATCTAAAAAAGTTGAAGAAACCTAATATTAAGAGGAACATTTAGTACAGTAGTGCATCTAACAGTTGATACAAACTTAGTATTACCCAGCCAATACACTGAAAATGTACCTTGATTCAATCCACTTCAAGATGCATAAAAATTATCATAATCACTAACACCATGGATACCCCACCTTATGAAACAATGCATGCTAATAAATAATTAAGAATATAGTGTACATTTACCTAGTTTTACTAACAACTGGATTGATTTTAGTTCTCATCTGACTTATGAGAGCTACCTACTAACAATCTTAATTATGTATAAAATGCTGATAAAAATATATTAAGAAAAGACCTAAAATAAATCACAGCACAGCATACATGAAATTTCTATCAATAAGGAGATTATGTTTACGAAAATACTTTGATTCTCATCTTAACGAAAAAACATAAATTCATATTCACAATACATAATGACGAGTAAAATAAAATAATCAGATTATCCTATAAAAACAGATTATTTTAATATATTTCACTAATATCAATGGTTCCTACAAAGTGGGTTAAAAAAAAATTTTTTTAGCTCCAAGAAATGGCAATGTAGATATTTTTATAACAAACCTGAGCAGCAACTGTGTGTGATCTTGTTGGAAACAGCTTGGAAACACAGGCCGTTTTAAACCCTTCTTGAACCAATCCAAATGCAGCTCTCAACCCAGCACCTCCTGCCCCTACTACAACAGCATCATAGGTATGGTCAACAACAGGATAGTCTCTACCAAACTGAAGAAAAAAAAAATGTATATATGAAACACTTTCAAGGAGAAAACCTTCAACTGTATTACAAGATTAGCAACAAGACATTTAACACTGTCTTACCAGTCAATAAATTTAAGACAAACATTAAAACAAATATTCTTAAAAAGAGAAATATAACAAAGTGCTTAAAAGCTCTGACAGATCTAGATATTCGTATGCAAGAGTTAAAACATACATCTCTAATAAATTTAAACAATTACTGTAATGGATAAATGCACAGTAAATCCAAAACCAACATCTATACTTAATTTTCATTGAAGTAAAACCTAAGTAATGAGTCATAGCAAGCACTGAAGCCTTAAATGTTCATTCAAACATATGTTTCTTCTATTATATCATGAGAAAGAGAGAATTTCTTAAATATTTCAATGATGCCAATTTAAAAATATTCCAAGCAAGTTTCCACCCAGCCCATTTCCAAAGTAGCCATAAAGCAATTATATTGTAACTTTTTAAATGTACGTACATCTTTATGAAATTTTGCAGATTATCAGTAAACATTACAAGACTTTCATACACAAAATAGATTTTAGTTAAGCTTTACAATTTTTTAATTAATGGTTTAGTTGTAATTTTTTTTCTTTTTGAATGTTGACTATCTTACATGCAAAGTAATTTTAAGATTAAAAATACTTATGTATCAGAAAATTTTCAACTTTCACATGCAAGATCTCTATAACCTCCTAATAACCTTCAGATAATTATCAAGCATTTTTTAGAAAAAATAATATATGCATTATCATGAACCACGATAGTGGTTCATAATAGGGATCACAAGGAATTGCACAAAACCCTAATACAATCATTGGGCAAAAAACACTTTAAACAGTAAAGATTCAGTTCAAATAACACTTTAAAACTTTTACTATTGACTGCTACGACTGTATGTATATACACACACACACACAAAAAGTTTCCATAGTCTGTTGCCATCTGAGCTTGCAATCATGAAACTTTAAAAAGATACCTTATATTTAGAATTACACAATCTACTCCAAACTGAGAAAGCTAAAAAAAAAAAGATTGGTATTGTGAAAGTAAGTTAGATTTTCAAAGAAAATTAGAATATTCTCAGTTATATAAATATTCAACCCCTTTGCTACAGCAAACCTAAATCAGTTCAGGTGCAAAAGATTAGTTTGAAAGGTTGCAAAATTAGTGTACTGGTCTCTGTCTACAAGTAATCAAAGTGGTTTAACTTGACTTCAGAGTAAATGCATCTGTTCAAGCCACAACTCACATAGTGATATGACAAATCAACGACGAAGACCAAGGAGCTTTCCAAACAAGTCAGAGATAAGGTGGTAGAGAAGCACAGATCAGGAGAAGGTTACAATAAAATTTAAAAGTCACTGATTATCCATTTAAG